GTTCAGTTCAGATTTTTTTCAGTTCAGATTAGAATTATAATCTGAAAAAATCTGAACTGAACTGAAAATTTTCAGATTGATTTTTATGCAATCTGAAACCGATCTGATTTGATCCAAAAATCTTCAGATTAATCTGAATCATTTAGAGCTTTATTTATAACCAATAGATCAGGATATAATTAATAATTTTAAGATTAGTAAGAATTTTTAGATTTTTTACATATAATTTAAAAATAACTAAAAAATATATACTTTTTTTAATTTAATTATTTATTTTTTTTAAATTTTTTAATTTTAATGTATATTTAATATTATTAATATTTACTTTTAATGTTTTTAATATACAATTATATAATTTATAATAATATAATATTTTAATTTTTAATATTAACATTATTTAATTTATTTTAAAATAAGTTTAAATATAAACAATACTATTATCAATATTTAATAAATTAGTTTGATAATAAGAAAGATATAAGCCATTAAAAAAATTATTTATAATTTATAATAATATAATATACTAAATTAAATTATTATTTTTATTAATGATAAATTAAGAAAATTAAATTTATTAGAAGCAATTAACTATTTGTTAAATGCATAATCAGATATATTATAAAATATAATATCAAACTATTAGACTAAAGCAGAAATTTTGCCAAATATAGATCATATTCAAAAAAAAGTTACATCTGATCAAATTGATATTGAATTAGATATTAAGATAGAAAAAATCAAAGATTTTTTTGAAATTTTTCTGATTCTGCAGAACTATTTTTAAATAATATTAAGAATTTTACAAAGTATTAGATAAATTACTAATTGAGGAATTTTTAGATGATAAAGAAATTATTAAATATGTAATTAAAAACCCTAATGAAGAAATTATATCAAATAGTAAATCTGAATTAGAAATAGTTAGTATAAAAGAAGCGGCTTAAGATTAAAGACTTTTTTTTTATTTTTTATTTAAGTCTAATAATTTAGATTTTTGTTATATAGATTTAAAGATATTTAATAAATATTTAAAATTAATAAATATTAAATTAATAAAAAATAAAAAATAAACTTCTATTGATTTTTTTTTTAGCGTGATAGATTAATTTTTAAATTGATTTAAAAAAAGCAATACTGCATATGTGTTTATATAATGTTTGTTAAATTGTTTTTGTTTACGTTAATAAAAAGAAAATGCAATCACATATTTAATAGAATTAAAAACTATATATAGAGGTAGTATCCATAGGGTAGAGGTTGAGAATGGAGATCAGAGACGTTAGTGGTAAAATTAAAATTTTTTTTGTTGTAAAATACATGAAATTCAAGAAGATTTTTACTTTTAATAAACTGGAAATTATTAAATAATATCAATTTTAAAAATGAAAAAATTATAAGTTTTTATAAATTTTTTATAAATTTTAACCTTTCACAATAAAAATCTGAAGTTTTTATGTATAATATTCAGTTTTTTAAATCAAATTTATTAGTATAGTATAATACTTTAAGGATATCTTAATTAACTATTTATAGTAATATTTAGTTTTTTTATAATTATATATAATTACTATAATATTAATTTTAATATAATTGCGATTATAAACAAGTTTTACTATATAATCACCCTTATCTATAATCACAGGATTTTACATGGTAATTATAGCCATTTCTAATTGTATTATAACTCATTAGATTCATTTTAATGTAATAAATTAAATAATACAGTTAACTCTTATTATAATAAACTCTATATCCTAGACCTCAACTTTGCTATAAGACTATAATGAAGATTTTAACTGATTTTATTAGCCAATTCACTATAACAAGAGTATTTTTATTATATTCATTCAAAAAATTCATTATATCATTCACTATATCAAGAGTTGACTGTAGTTATTTTATCTCAATAATATATATTTTAAAATTTTTATAAAATTAAACAAGCTAAATTTTAGCAATTAATAATTTAAAATTAATAAATGTAACTCATTTGATTTATTTCTATAAGAAAAATTAAATCATTTTTATAATGATGTGATATTATTATAAATTTATGTTATAATTATTACAAATTAAATTAAAAATTAAAAAATTAAAAAAAAAATAATAAAATTAAATTATGATTATTTCTTGTAATTCTATTATAAATCTATTTGTATTGATTAATTATTAAAAAGAGAAATTAAATGATACTTGTTTTATTTTAAACAGATCGATATTGACAGAATTATTAAATTTTTAATTTTTAATTAAATATTTAGGTTAGATTAAATTAAGTGATTAATCTGACCTGATCCAAAATTTTCAGATTAATTTATTAGGTTATTTAATTTATTAGATCAGATTTAAAATTTTAATTATTATCATTAATTATTATTATTATTATTAAAATTTGTATTTATTAATATTATTAATATTAAAATTATTGTCTTTTAAACTATAAATATAAATTGTTTCTAAAATATTTTAGAAAACTTAAAATATTTTAATATTAATAATTATAAAAAGATAAAAAAAATTTTTTAGATTTATCATATTATGATATATCTAATAGTAGTTTTTAAATTTTTAAAATTAAAGTTATCAATATTATAACTAAGTATTGATCTTAACAATCATAGATCTGCAAATGTTTGGTGAAATACAGAATGTCAAAAATGTTAAATATATTAAACATATTAGTATATTTAATATAGTTAATATAGTTAATATATTTGGTATGTCAAAATATATAATAGAATAGATATAAATACAAGTTTTTTATAAGTTAGAAAAGATAGACAGATAGTTGTATAAAAATCTCTTTTATAAAATATAATGCAATGCTACTCTTTCATTTTGTGTATTCCTCTTATTTATTTATTTTTCTTATTTTATTATATCTTATCATTTTTTATTATTTTTTCTATTTAATAAAGTATTATTTATTTTCTATTGTAAAACTCTTTGTGATTACTGTAAAAATCTTAACCTATGATTAAAGTCACTTTCGTTAGTAAACTCAACCCAATTTGATAAAGTTAGTAGTAAAACAATTAAGATTAGCATGAAACTGATTAGAATTATACATAAACTATAATGAATCAACTTTTTGATACTGTGTCTAATAGTTGAAATTTGAAAAGATTACATGTTAATAATATATATTAATTTTTCAATTTTTAATTTTTAAAATAATTTATTATCTAATAATTATAATAATATAAAATTTAATTTAATGAATTCATTATATTAAGACCTATTAAATAGTAGTACTTTTATATTTCTGAAATTGATAAATAGCAAGATATATATATGAGTTTAAAATTTTAATTTTTTTTATAAAAAAATTGTAATTAATAAATAAAATTGTCTACAAATTTTTAAGCAAAACAATTGAAAGGATAATTATAATCAAAATTTACTAGTTCTTCAATAATTCCTTTTACATCTATTTTGAAATTCTTGATTATTAAAATTAAAATAATTTTTCATAATTATTTTATTACTTATTTCTAGTATTGCTTTTTCATTATTATCAAGATCATTTTTATTATTATTATTATTAATATTATTTAATACTTATTGTTTTTCAATTTTCTTATCAAAAAATTCTGTAATATTTAAATTTTGATTAATTACTTGAAAAGATATTCTTAGTAAAATCTGAATTATCATAATTAATTTCTATTTTGTAATTATTACACTAGGTAATAAGAACTGTTAAAGTATTTGAAGTATTATAATCATATTATCACTAATTATTCATCATAAAATTGTTTTAAAAAAAATATATAATATAGTTAAAATAACTAAAATCATATTAGTTAAATAGTTTAATTAAAAAGAATATATTAAAGAAAAAAGTATTTATAATATTTTAAATTTTAATTTAAATTTTTTTTATAATTTAAGTAAAAAACTATTTTAATTTATTTTGTTATGACTAACTAATCATTAAATTAATTCAATATGAATAAATAATATGAAAAATAATATTATAATGAAATAATTATATTAATTAAAAAGATAAATATAAAATGTTTCAAATAATCAGCAATATAATGACTTTTTATAAATTATTTTATAAAGTTACATTTGTATAATTTTATAAGATTGCGTAGTTATAAATCAAGAGAAATTTGTATTACGAAGACCCAATACATTGTTTTTCCAAAGCATTTTTTTGGAAACGAATAAGATTATGACTTTAAAGGCGTTTACTGCGTTTGAACAAATCGAAACATTGCTCTCAATCAATATCAAATTGACTGCGAGACAAGAATTATTGTACATAAACGTCGCGTGTAACAACAGTAACACTCGAAATCTTTTATTTATTTAAATCATGTACTAGTACAATTTTCATCATCCAGTATTTCCTTCAATATTATGATCCCGATGCAACAGGTAAAATTTCAGTTGTGACATACGTAGTTGTATTGGAACGTACCGTATTGTTGGTGGTGACGCTTGTCATTGTAATCGTAATCTTTGAGCTGGTTGTGGCTGATGTAGAAAGTGCCTGATCATTTGGTAATGGCATCTGCTCTGATTGATGTAAATTACGTGAAGGGTGGTTTGATGAAGGAATCGATGTTGGAGAAATATGGATTTCCGGACGCATTGGAATTTCATTTCGTCGTATAGAAACAACTCTTGGTCGTGTTGAAGGAAGACCAATATCTTCAGAACTGTCAGTTTGTCGAACATACTTCGTTTTTGGCGGTCTCCCTTTTCTTTTCTTTTTGTTTTGATCATTCGGTTGAGTATTGTTGGTATCTTTTTTTGTTATTTTTCCCATTTTTTGAACTAAAATTATTGATAAACGCAAACGATTAACCAAATATTATTGTTTTCGTTTTTGTTTTTAATCACGATCATAAATCATTATGACTCTTTAATGAATGTAACCTAAAAAAAAAAAATTGGCATCACGTAATTTAAGATAATTGTTTCTTACTAATATTAAATTAATATTACTTTTTAAAGTTACTATAAAAAAGGAAAGATTTAAGCTTATTGAAAGTATTATAACTATATTTTCTTATGAATAAACTTAACGTTGCTCAAAGTATATTATACTAAAAAAAAAAAAAAAAAAACTTACTTTATAACGTTCTTATTTTTATAAAGATGTGAGAACCAAAGTCGGAAAATAAATTTCGTACTTAGCAAGGAAAGAAAAATAAATAAATAAAAAGCATCAATTTTAGTTTATCGTGGACAAAGAAACAAAGAAATTTGTGATATATCACGTGATATGTTACAGAATCAATCACGTCTTTTATTATTTTATTATTAGAACAATAAAAATTACTATCTTAAATATATTTATTTCTACAGTATTTTCATTTATATAAATCATAATTGAATGATAAGTTTTTCTTTAATATTCTATTAAATGAAAATAACATTTACACGGTAAGAGTTCATACAAATCAAATTCAAAAAAAAAAAATTAATAAACAAATTTATCAATGAGGTTTACTTTAATGAAACGAGAGAACTATGTCTGATTAAAAAAATTGGAAATTAAAAAAAAAAGAATTAAACTTTGCCAGAAGACAAATGATAGAATTTTCTTAACTTACTTTTGAATAAGGAGTGAACTAAAAAATATCCTACGCCGGATTTTCCTTGGCTTGCTGTTTTATTCTCTTTTCATACGCGACGCGATCTTTCCTAGTAACAAGTAAATGTTGAATTTACATGTAGGATTAACAATAAATAGAATAAATGAAATAGGTTCATACTTGAATAACATATAGGCATCGGATTGTGCAGGACTATCGGGATTCGGTTCATCAAGCAGGTTTTGTATTCCCAATAGGATCTATAATGAATCAAATGACATTTAATAAGCAAAACAGACACGTAAAGATTATCTAAGAAATAAATCAATTACCTGTTTAATTGTAATCGCGGGCTTCCATCCTTCTTCTTCATTTAGGATTGACAAACAAACCGTTCCAGATGGATAAACATTAGGATGAAATAACGCGGGGACAAATTTGCCTAATAAAAATAAAAATAATAATAATATGAAAGGGTAGAATCCATAATAAAGAAATAACAATTTACTCCATTCAGCGAGAATCGTATACTTCATCTTTATTCTTGGCTCTTGCTTCTTAAATATCAAGGAAAAAAGTCTTACATTTGGGTGGTTTTGAAGGATAATCTGTAAAGAATTTAGAAAAGGAAATAGATATACCGAACGTTTGATTCATTCGATTATAATTTCCATCCTAAGTATAAATCGGATCATTCAAAAAAAATAATCAAAATAAAATATTTTGATCTATTTTAAGGTTTACCTTCTGGAAAAGTTATCGTCATTTTATATACTCCGTTCTCCCATGCTGTCTAACATAAAATTAAGGATTCCAAATATTGTTATTAACCATAATATATACGTTACGCGTTCCAACCAAAGGTATCATTTACTAAAATGTTGACCTCTTACTCCTTTCTTGCCAGGAATTCCAACCTGCCAAGTTAATAGATCTAAGCCATTTTCAGTTTTTACCGGTCGAGCGTAAAAGCCCTACAAGAAAATAAAAATGTCTTTCTGTATTGCTAACGTTTATAAAACTGTTTAAAGCAATAAAGCAACCGCAAGTTACTTACGTAAGGATGATCTTTACGCCACTGGCGTCGTTCTTCCATAAGTCTAGACTTGCAAATGCTTGACATGCTGCGAATGTACTTTGAAGTTTTTTCGTTTATTTTGTTTATTTCGAGCTACTTGGCAAAGGGAAGTGAAAATGTGCGATAAACGCTGTTGTGCACCTCCCTAAATTGCCATTGATTGCTACACCAACGTAATGCCGACCGGGGTAATCATTTGCCTTATATACATTTTCTTAAAGCATTAATAGATAAATATTAGAAATTAATAAATCTTATACAGCTTTGTGATTTTAAATGATATAATTTCTAAAAAAAATACTTTTAATATTTAAATAAAATTTATTTTTTTAATAATTGCAACTAATTATAAAAATACAGTTATAATTAATTATAAACTATTATTACTTATTACTATTCTATTTTTATAATATATAATAATTACATTTTTATAAAAAGTATTTTTTTTTATTAATAAATTAGATATATTAGTTTTTATAAAAAGATTAATATCTTAATAATTATAATTGTATTTTCTAATTAAAGTTAGTTGTAATTCTAATAATTACACTAAATTTTTATTTAAAGAAATTAATTCTTTATATTTAATTTATATATTAGCTATTTATACCAGTATAATATAATTAAATTATTCCTTCAAGCGTATTGCTAGCAAATTTGCCTGCAATTTTATTTAATAATTAAAATTATAAATATTTTTAAAATGAAAATTTTATTTGTTAACTAGAGGTAATTTTTTATTTATCAACTATTAAATTTTTGATTAATCAAATGTATAATAAACCACATGATTTGTAGATGTGCTATTTAGACTATACTATAATAACTAATAGTGAAATTTTCAATAATTTTCTTTTTATAACTGATATTTATAACAATAAAAAAATTTTTAGAAACTATTTTTTACTTGTGAATGAATTATAAGTATAGTCAACTTTTAATATAACAAACTCTTGATATAATGAATTTTTTGAACAAATATAATAAAAATACTCTTATTATAGTAAATTAGCCAATTAAATCTCTTAAAATCTTCACTATAACCTTATAGCGAAGTTGAGGTCTAGAATATAGAATTCGTTATAATAAGAGTTGACTGTGTACCCTCTAATCATATCTTTTTTATTAATGATATAGGTATAATAATAATTTAAAGTAAAATTTAGTGACTAAAGAGAACTAAGCTCAAATTACTATATAATTCAAGCTAACTAACTTAAATTACAGTAGTAATTTGAACCATAATTAATAATAGCTTAAAAAATATATTCATTTTTACACATAATAAATAAACATTAATACTAAAATAAAAATTTACAGATTGAAACTATATCATAAATAATCACTCAGATATTCATATAATTTTTAAAATCAAATATTTAATTGAAATCAGGTGGATAATTAACATAATATTTGAAACAGTTTTATTAACAATATGTATTTTTTTCTTATTTTTCAAATAAAGTTAATTGTATTTATTTAATTAATCATTTTAGTGATTGACTTAATTTTATTACATATAATAAATTTATAACAGATTTAAAGAATTTTATTAAATTTTGATTTATAATTCTATTAATAAAATGAAAAACTCAAACTAATATAAATATATACATTTTGCAGTAATTTGATTATTCATATCAGAAAATAATCTTTTGCTAGATACTAATAAATTGAAAATTAATAAATACTTTCTAGCTAATTTAGCTATATTAGGAAACTGAGCTTTTCAAATTGCTTACCACTCAAATGAATTCACACTATAATCAGCAATAAGTATATAAATGAGATCTAAATAATATTCTAATTTAAAAAAGAATTTGCTATTACTACCTGTATAACAAAAATAGAAAAGTGCAATCAGTTATGATGTTGTTGTTGATTTAAGTTACCAGATAATGATAATGATTATTCTAAACTTAAATCAACTAATTCTTTAAATTAATATATTAATTCTATTTTTGCTTTATTATGTATTTTTTATTCTAATTAGAGAGTATTTTTAACCTTAGATTTAAAAGAGATGCTAAAAAGACCAATTATTATAGATTCATCCAATAAAAAACAATGAAATATAAATAATTTTTTCATTATTTTAAGAATATCTTATACATATTGAATAGTTAAAGCTACTGTTTTAAATCAAATATGATAGCGATATGATGTTAATTGTTCTAGATTATAAAATTCTAAATTATCTTTTTCATTACTATCACTTAATTCAATTTCTTCTTCTTTATGTTAAAAATTTGAAACATTTATAAAATAAATTATGATTAATTAATTAACAAGATAATTTTTATAATATATTATAATATAACT